TTCCCAAATTTATTTTTGCACCAATGTTCCAACATGTTCCTTCCAAGTCCCTGACCATCGAGCCAAACTAATGACTCAAAATACAATTGCATACCTGGCCATTTCTCCTTCCAAAGTGCACAGCGAGGTGAACTGCTGCAAGTTCTGCACACTGGGAAGATTTCCTGTAACCACTGTTCTTCAGAGACCACCCAGAGAGGGGCTATGTGCTGTGGCTCTCCTCTTTTTGGTGGTTCTTGTGTGTTGTGCAGAACCATCTGTAAACCAGCCTTGAGGCTCATCTTCCTCTGTCAGCTGACTGTTGAAAGCTCTGCATGGGGCCAGGGGGAGAAGCTGGGAGACAGAAGGCAGTGGAGCAGGACTAGGGACCATGGGCATTTGAACTACTTCATGTAACATACTTGTGCCTTCGGGAATGGTTTGGGTCTGGTTGCAGAAACACCACTTTCCTTTGTTAATGGAGTGTTGCTGTGCACGCCCAGCTTAATGCCTTGGTGGGTCTAATAACACCGAGTTTCTAATAGGCAGCTCAAGCCACAAGCGAACTACACTCTGGAACTGGAGAAGTAACCTCCAAATGGACTCAAGGATACCTTGGGCCCACTGTGAGACAGACTGCAATAACACTCCATTGGTCTTCTGTCTCCATGTGCCCTTCTCTGCCTGGAGGGCCAAGTGATTTTTGAGTCTCTTGGAATCAGTGACAGTTCAGAGACAATGTCCAGGAGTTTCTAAAAAGTCTGTCACTTTCTTTCCCCCAATGCACATGTATCCTGATAAAGAAGCCATTGGTTCCCTTTGGGGAAGGCAGGGAGAAAAATCAGCAGTGCACCTTTTCAGCAGTGTGCCAGGATCCTTCCTCAAGGGGACTCGGTCTCCCCATCACTCAAGGGATTCTGGGTCTGTGAACTGGCTCATGTCTAGGAACTGCCCGAGGGGCAGTGACTCTAGTTTTGAGGTTTGGGTTGGCCTTTCATTCACTTCACCTAGAAGTTTTCTGTTTATAAAAATCAAGTGAGAATTTAGTGGTCTTTCTATATTTTACTTCTAGGAACACCATGATTACCTAACCAGTGCCTGTACAAGTCAGGTCATTCCCATTGCTGCTTCGACTCTGTTGTCACCTATACTACCCACACTCACCTTGCCTTTGGTAGCTGGTCCCTTCACTTGGCCCCTGCCCTCCCTAAATCCAATCACTCCTGTTGCATTTAGTTTTCTGATTGAGGGGCTGCTGCCCACTCTGTAAGACCTGGCCTAGAGAAGGGCAATCACGGAGCTCTTCAAGGGTGTTAAGGTTCCCTCATACCATAATTTCTCAAAATATTGGTGGAAAATATGTTGTTTGAACTCTCCCAGTGTGGATGAGTAGGTCTTAAATGATAAATCCATTTTATATTCCAATGTCCCTCCTGCTCTGAATCTCTTCTTCTACATAAAACCAGAGTAGGTCAAGCTTTTCCAGTTGGCTCACTATGGTCTGTCCTTTGATCTATGTTATAGCCAATGAATTAAACTGTTAGAGATTTTCCGAAGTCTCCAATTCTGCATGAAATATCAATACATTCAGCCTGATTCAACATTATGTTCCTCCCACCTTTATCCCACATCCTTAATATCTGTTCCCACACACACTCTTAGGAATTCTGTCTGTATAAACTAGAAGAATCCAGTAGTCTTTTTGGAGTGTAATGAACCTTCTGGTAGGTCACATTCTGTACACCGCATTTGGAGGGACTGGCTGGGACTTGTGTTGAATTATAGGTCTAGTAGTAAACAGACTGGTGTGAATGAGTCCTGAGGATAAACAGCAGTGCCTTGCCTGTCAACTGCCTCTGGGTGGTCACACCTTTTCAGGGGAGGTAGGGTTAATCCTATCAGACAGAGGTGGAAAGACCTATACTACTGGGTGTGAGGAGCTTCTTCCACTGGCAAAGAAGACAGTCATCAGAATTGAGAGACTCAATATTTCCAGCCTCATCAAGATCTTCCCACACATTCACTTAACAACTCATGAGATCGTAGTCTAATTTAGCCAATCAAAAGAAGAGGTCCTGCATTTGATTTTCAGCAATTTTAGCCAGATGCTACATGGCTTAAAGCTTTCTTTCAGAGCACACCTACAAGCTCTTAAGTCATTTATAGGTCTCCTGAGCTGAGAATTGAAATACCTGAGCTCATCTCTGTCTCCCAGCACTTTATCCAGTAATATTAGGAGCAAGCAACCAAGGTCACAATATTTCTTACTGTTCAAAAAATGTTCAGGGACATCATATACAGAATCATTTAGTTCCATGTTCCTTTTAAGTGATTGATTAGAAGTATCCAATGCAGATACATTGCTTATCTCGATAAATAGTTCAGCACTTGGATGATCTGTGCTCCCTTTACTAATGGAATAGAGTCATTAAACATCATTACAGCTAATCAGATTAAACAGCCAATTGCAGAAATCTCAGAATCAATACAGAAAACTCATGATGACAATTCTATTTATTTAGAATGGCTCAAGGTCAATAAATAAAATACATCTGTATTAAATCTGTATTAGTTAGGGTTCCCCAGAGAAACAGAATATATACAATAAAATTTAGTTCACATAGTTTTGGAGGCTGAGAAGTCCAACATCCACTGCAAGCTGGAGAACCAGGAAAGCCAGTGGTACAATTCAGTCTGCAATGAAAGACCAGAGGATTGGGAGTGAACAGTGTCAGCTCTGGTTTGAGTCCCAAAAGTGAAGAAGTGTAGTGCCAGTGTCCCGGGACAGGAAGAGATGGATATCTATGACTAAGCAGAAAGAGCAAATCCCCCCTTCCTACACCTTTTATTCAATCCAGGCCCTCAAGTGATAGATGATGTCCACCAGCATTGGCAAGAGTGATATGCTTCACTCCGTCTATGCATTCAAATGTTAATACCTTCCAGAGGCATCTTCGCAGCAACCAAGAGAGAATGTTTTACCACCTCTCTGGGAACCCCTTATATTCCAGCCAAGTTAACAGATAACATTTAGCACATAATGTTCACCATCACCTTGCTGTCGAAAGTTGGGGAGAGTGGCACGTTTAAGGACCACATCACACATTCGAAGAGAAAGCCGTCATAGTCTTAAGACAATCAACCCTGGAGCATATTTCCTTTTGTGGAAGGGAGAGGAGTTGAGAGGGAAGTGAACTCTAGACATGCTGCATGAAGCCCCTCTGCTCAGGGTGGGAGAGCTTCTGCAGAGCAAGGAGGGAGCCTGTGAGCTCAGGTTTTGATCTCACTTCCTCATGAACTTGCACCACTGTGGAACATTGTTAGTACTCCTATATGAAGCACAGTAATAGTCAGCCTCATCGTCAACCTGGAGCCCAGAGATGGTCAGGGAGGCCGTGTTGCCGGATTTGGAGCCAGAGAAGCGATCAGGGATCCCTGAGGGCCGACTGCTGACATCATAAATCAGGAGTTTGGGGGCTGTGCCCGGTTGTTGTTGGTACCAGGAGACACAATTGCAATACCCAACGTCACTGCTGCTTCCAGCACAGGAGATGGTGACAGATTGTCCAGGAGACCCAGACATTGAGGGAGGCTGAGTAAGGGGAGTCTGGGCCCAGGAACCTGAAAAGAGCAAAAACACACTCAGTGCTCAGTTCAGTGCTGGGCCAGGGTGAGCCTGAGGAGGAGACAAAGAATGAGCCTAGTTGTCCCCATGGTCCCCTCCCTGGATGCCTCACCTGAGCCCTGAGTGAGGAGGGTGATGAGGAGCAGAGCCCAGGCCATGGTGGAGAGCCCCCGAGAGTATTGCCTTCTGAGACACCAACACTGAGCCTGGCTCCTCCAGACCTCTCTTATTCCCTCTTTCTGCCTCAGAGGAGGGAGTGGCCTCCATGCAAATCTGCTTTCTGTACCTGCCTCTCCTCATCCCACTTTGACCTCACCTTGATCTAGATGCTTTTGCTCACTACACAGGACTATAATCTGAGAGAATTAAAATGGTTTGACATGGTTTATTCTCACTCAGAAAGCACTGACAGAATAATTCAAGTGTCCCCAAAATGGAGCCATCTTGCGGGTCCCTGTTCTTTCTGCTGTAGGAATCAAGGTGGTTTCTGGCTGATGAATACAGGGACTTCACCTCCTTCCCAAGACATCTGGGAGGCAGCTAGGACAGGGTCTGAAGTTGGCTAGAGAAAATCCAGTCGCTCCACAATCCAAGGAGAAAAGGCAAAACTGGCATGTCTCATTCTTTCTCCAACTACGGTTGAAGCTCCTCAGTGGAGAATAATCCTCATATATTTTTTGTCCCAACCTCTATGGTGTCTGAGAGTCAGGGACATTTATTGCTATACCCACAGGTAAAAATATTGGGACACAACACATATATGACATCTCCCACCCTCAGCCACCCACACCGAAGAGTGTCAGGGAAAAGGTCTTTTAAGACATAATACAGGTCAGGGGAAATCTCGGTAAGTACTGGTAGCTTCCCCAAAGGCAGGCAATGCTGCCCCCTGCTGGTGGCGGGTAATTCAATATGTCTGGAAGCTAGAAAAATCTGCTCTATTCCCTTCTCCTCTTTTTATTCCAAGCCAGCTCAGCAACAAGTCCCTAGGTATCCTTACAACCATCTGAACTCATTTATCTTTTTATCCCTTTTCCTTTAGAATGGAATGGCACCTGCCTAACATAGAAGTCCAAACCCTCCCCACAGAACCATTGAGCTTGTCTAGTAGCTGTCTGGCCACAGGGTGTGTGCTCCAGATGTAGATCTTGGCCTGGGTGTGGAGCATTAGATGTGAAATGAAATCAACTACAGTGAAAAAATGAATGAAAAATATGGGACAAACGGAAGACAGATTGACTTCCCACAATGTCAAAATACAACATTTTTTACAAAATTTTTTTGTTGGGGTGTTTTGTCTTTCTCTAGTGAACGATACCTTCATGTTCACATCATCTAGACTCGAGCCGTGTCACACACGGACGTCTCAGCAGCTGGGTCACAGCACAACAGGACAGGTCCCCTTCACTGGACAGAGAATATTGTCCTGAGTCACAGCCCTTTCTCTATGCAAGCAGGGTCAGAGGTCACAGCTGCCTATAAAGTGTGTGTCTTTGTGGAGACAAACAGCAGGTGGCAAAAGGGACACTGTCTGGTTATTCTCTGTGGCATCTAATGTAAGACTTGCCCCCTGAATGAAATGACATCACAGGACCTTCACATGACGTAGGAGGGCAGGGAGCCACCGTTGCCTCTTCCAGTGTGTCTCTTTTTAAAGTGGAGACACAACTGCCTCTGAGAAGTAGTTACTGTTGCTGTAAAGACAAAGAATTACCAAGAAAACCACAAACTAGATACTGAGTTAACAGAATCATTTCAATATGAGATTTCTGGAGCAAAGGGCCCTTGTGTCTTGTATGTGGAGTATTAAGCTGCAGGAACAGACTCCTGAATTTTCTCAAATAATTAAACTATATATATTTAAAATTACTTAAAGGGAGAAAAAATTCCCCTTTGGCAGAAATCATATAAAGTGTTTTAGATGTCCTTCTGGTCAATATTTCCACTGGTGTTTTCTTATTCAGTGCAACGTGGGAATCAATATCTCAAGGCAATTACCAATCATGTGTCCATTAAATTTCCGGGTGAGGTACCATTATATCCCTTCTGGATATTTTCTCTATCTTTTCTTTAAAAATTGCTATTGTTGAAGAAAACACAATATTCCATTCATCGTAAAAGATAAGAACCCAGGAACTGGGTTTTGTTTCTAAAACGATATGCTACGTTTCATTGGTTAGTAACCCTATCATATGCAATTGGCAAGTTTGCCTCTTTTTTTGTGGCCGTTGTGCTTATTATTTCTGTCATATCTCATTGTGTGGGCACAAAACTCGAGAGGAACTTTAAGTAAAAATGTGACTCCTGTATCGTGGGTGCCCTGAACGAGCTCCCAGTAGTGATGGAACGTGGAACTGATCAAGGCAGACGGGGGCTGGGTCAGCACAGGATCAGCACAGAGACCTGCAAACACAAAACACAGGGATGATGCCAAAGACACCCGGACTGGACAGATGCCTTTCAGGAGTGTGGTTGGGAGGAACTTGGTGGCAGTGGGGCCCCTAGTGCCCAGGGATGCTCTGACCTGTGGAGAAAACCAGGGGCAGGAGGTAGAAGGGAGCCCAGTCCATGGTGGAAGGTGCTTCCAGGAGCTCTGCCCTTAGGCTGCCCAGCTGGCACTGGCCTCTCCAAGCCCCTGTCTTATCCTTCCCTTGCAGCTGAAGAGGGAGGAGCATGAATGCAAATCTCTTCTCTGGTTCTCAACTGTCTGTCTCAGCTCTGGTCTGAGCCCTGAGCCTGAGGGCCTCCTGCTGGTAATTTCCTGAGGTCAGAGCAAGATCCAGGAGTTGGTTTCAGAGTGGAGAGGTGATTTCAGTCAATAGAAATGTTTTCAAAGGAAGCACATTACACAAACTCTTACACTGACAACAGCCCATGAAAATGGGAACTTTCAGTCCTGAAGGCAGTTCCACAGTGCCCCCTGCTGTCCCCAGGGTGATTGACATTCTACAATGCTTAGCTCCTTCAGTGGAGTGACTGTTCATAACTTTTCAGCCCTCAAGAAAGGCTGACCCGTGGTAAGTGTGTTACTTGCATCCCTCACCCAACCTCAGTCCAGCTCCTTCTCCTGTGCAATGAGCAGGGAGCCCTCACTGTGAGGGTATGGTTTTCCCAGGGTCCTGCAGACAGTGACTCTGAGTCAAGACTCCAATCCAGCAGCTGGACCTCAGAGCCTCACCTGTGAATCCCGTCCCTGCCCAGCCCCTCTCCACGTCCCTTGTCCTGTTCCTCTGCATCCCAGGTCCAGGCCTCCTGAGTCCCTGAGTCACCGTCCTGCCTTCTGTACCCAGGTGCTCGGAGTGCTCAGGTTGTCACTGGGGGGGAATCTGCATCTCGTGAAATTGGAGGCTGTGTGTGCGCAGAGTGGGGGACACTGAAATATTCTTCTGTTTCCAAAACCTCAGTGTAAGAAAAATGTAAAATACATCAATATTGTATATTTAGTTCACATTAAAATGATGACATTTTCAACTAAGTCAATTAACAAAATCTACTATGAAAACTAATGCCACTGGTTTCTTCTCATTGGTCAATGTGGCTCCTGGAAAATTCTGGTCACACATGTGGTTCACAGTTTTATTTCTGTTGGATAGGACGCCCTTCAAGTCACTGCATCAGTCACCTGCTTTTGAAATAGGAGTGGGAACTTTCTGGCAACTTAAGGAGCAGACACATCTCAGGACTGAGAACACAAATTGAGGCCGAGGATGGTGGTGACAACCAGGGACCCTGGGGCCAGAACCTCAGCGTCCTGCCAGTCTGCAGTGGGACCTCAGCCCAGGGCCCTGCATCCTGGCCTCAGCCTCCCCGTCTGTGACAGGGGTGAGAAGGGGAATTTGTGGAACACAGAGTCCCTGCGGTCACACAGCTGAGGGACAGAGGCACTGGGACCGGGGCTGGCACCTGTCAGGCAGCAGTGAGTGTCTGCCCCCCTCCCATCGATGTCCTCCATCCCCGCCCTTGCAGGGAACACAGAGCAGACGCCCTGGGTGACGGGTGAAGAGAGTGGTGGGGAGGGAGGGACATGTGACACTGGAAGTATTTCTTGGTGACACCGACACACACACTATAGGTACATACACACTCATCTGTGCACACACACACTCATCTGTGCACACAGGTGGTGCTCTTTGCACAGGTCACAAGAGTTCACTCTCCCCAGCACCCTGTTCTGAGCACGAGAAATGGGAGTTTTGTGGATGAAATTAGTTTACTCAGGACACATTGGACCAGGTTGGGCCTTATTATATGGGTGACATTATAAAAAGAGGAAATATGGGGACAGAGGCTGACAAGTGAGACCACCCTGTGAGGAGGGAGACAGACTCTGTCAGCCGAGGTCCTCAGAGATGCCAGCGACCCCCAGCAGCTGGAAGGGAGGCGGGGGAGACTCTGCCTCACAGCCTGCAAACCACCAACCAGCGGACCACAGATCTTCTCACAACGTTCCCCTCGGACTTGAAATACTAAATCCTTATTGTCACCCCTGTGGTGGTGTCTGTGACTGCAGCCCCAGCACCTGCACAGTCCCCTCCAAGGACACAGCTCTGAGGACACCAGCTGCTTCACCACCCCCTGGGGCGGGGCCTCCTGCCCTGAGCCCCCCTCCCCTGAGGGGCTGACCCTGCTCCTGGAAGCTGCCTCTGTCCCCACACAGCACAGTCTCCCCTGCACCCGGAGACCCTGCGTCCCCCTTGTGGGTCCTTCTGGGGTCACAGTGAGGAGTGGTCACAGGTCTCCAGGGTCTGTGCTGGCCCACAAGAGCGTCCTACAGTGCCCAGTGTGGGGGTCACCCTGGGTGTGTCTCCCCTCCCAGGACTGAGTCTGGGGGACGGAAGGGACGGCTGAGGTGGGAGCCGTGCTCAGAGCTTCAGAGGGGAACCTGGGATCTGATGAGTTCCCTCAGGAAAAGCGCATTGCTCAGTGTTTGCGTCATGGCCTCCCCAGAGAGGGGAGTTTTTACAGGACCTTAAAGGAAAGGTGGAGGCAGCCAGGTGGGCTTCCTTACCCAGTGGAGCATGAGGGCAGAGAGGTGAGACCTCCCACCCATGGGGAGCAGGGAGGGACTCAGGAGGAAGATGGAACCCCTCTGACAGGAGGACCCGGGCTCTAGCAGGGCTCCAGGCAGCTGGGTGCAGATCCAGGCTGACCTGCAGCCAGTAGGCGCCCCCCACCACCCTGATCTGGCTCCTCAGGAGTCCCAGGTATGCCAGGT